TATCATATTATAAGTAGATTATTCTGATCTTAGAGTTTTATTTAAGTTCCAACGGCATCTGTTCTTACTTATAGTTTTTTATGTCATTACAATAAATAAAAATCAGCGTCAAATTTTATCGTACTTTGACTTTTTTCTTAAATAAATTAGTATTTAGTCACGCCTATTATATGTTGTTGTTTCGCATGGAAGTAATAGAAATGAGTTTAAAATATTAGTTTTTGGGGACAACAAGTTGCCAAGTAATCAAACTAATAATATTGTACAATAAGGTTCTTAATAATATATTTTTTTCATGATAAATATTTTATGATTTCACAATATACCTATGTAATATCACTATTTTATTTTTTAATACACTTTAAATTATAATATTCTCTAAAATAAATACAGTCCGTGCATCGCACGGGTTACGTACTAGTAAGAATTAACATAATTCACTTTTAGAAACTCTTTCCCGCCAATTTCATTAATTACATGCTAACTTTAGAATGTTAGGACAATTTGGGATAAGAAATCAATGAGCATCCATAATTTTAGGAATAAATTGATACAATCCAATTTTTATTCACTTTTCAAAATTTAGTTAGATATTGATCTATGGAATAAACTGATACATCCAAAATTTTAAGAATAAACAGATACAATCTCAATTTGCTAATATGTAGGCAAAATCTATGGAATAATATAATTCCGGCATGAACATGGCCGTGCATCTCCACTGCTTCCCGTTTGACCTCTTACACCTCAAATGTATTTATCCTTCCAACAATAATATAAAAATAATATATATATTTATTTATTTTATGTTTTAGAATTTTTAATACAATGTTTAATTAGAAATCTAACATTCTATAAATTTATTAAAAAATTACTATTTAATCATTTGTATTCTTATTACTACAAATGGTTATTTTACCTTTTTTTCTGATAAATTACATTAAATAATATTTTCATATCAATATTATTTTACATTATCTATATCTACATATATAATAAGAATGCAAATCAAATATAATAAGTATTTCTTGCCATTATGCATTAATTACATCCTAATTATAGTAATTTTACACAATTCCTTAAAACAAACATCGAATCATTAATTGCAATCAGTTTTAACTTTCTTCGACAACTGGATTTATTGTTTTATAAAAATATTTCATAATATTTGATTAAATACTAAATCCGATTGTTTGGAATCAATTCTATTTAAAAGCAATGTTATTATGGAATCAAATATTATGAAGTATCACTTTAAAATAAGTATAATTATGGAATCAGATAATTTAATCACAATTCATTATTTTTAATTAAATCAATATATCTTTTTAAACTTTTCAATTCATTTTAATATAACATAAATTTGCCGTAAAAATAAGAGTAAATCTTTACAATAATCATAGTATCAATATTAATAATAATATAAATGATAAATAAAAAAATTAATTATTTAGACTGTACACTTTATTATATACATATAAATAAATCGCATATTTGAACTTTAATTTTTTTATTTCTTTCGTATATAGTTATACAATATATGCAACTTAACTACAAGTAAAAAATTTAGTAAAGATTTCATTTCAATCATGGTAACATGTTTTTAAAAATTGCCACAATATTAGATTCACTATTCTACTACGCATGTAAACAACTTTTTATTTATAATATCACTGTTTATTTTTTTTATCATTTTGAATTAATATTTTTATCAATTTAGTTATGAAATATATTTTTTTTTTATTTAAAAATAGTGATTTAATGTCATCCGATTCATTTAGTTAGTTTTGAGCTATAAATGATAAAATATCGTTGTTATTTTTTAAACGTAATTATTTTTATAAATATTGTTTTACAAAGAATACAATCAAAAATTTAAATCTCTGTTAAAACATAACAAAAACAAAATTATTCTCAATATTGGAATGAATTTGGAATAAAAAACGAGAATGATTGAAAAAAAAAGATATATTCAAAATCCACACTTTAAGGTAACAACTTTTCTTATATTCTATATAAAATTAAACTTCACCAGGTAAATCATATCTTTAGTATTTATCACAATATTACATATTTACAATATAATTTTAATTTGTGGTGCTAACATAACGAAAATCAACAAAAAATAAAAATAAAGTAAGAAGGTGTCTATGCAGTTCGCAATTACCAACTGGAGAGCAATTTTAGTAAATATCGGTCTACGGTTGCCAAGTGCAAAGTAATTTGGCATAAAAAAATTACGATGTTTTTAATAATGTATGACTTTTTCATGACGAACATTTTACGATTACCTAACAAATACTCTATGTATTATTAACTTATTGATTAATAATTTAATTATATATTTT